AGAACTGTGTCCAAAAGACAAGAACTTTCTAGACTGGGAAAACCCATGCCGAACGATCTGCTGCAAAGTTTAATCTCAGCGAAAGAAGAAGGCGACAGGGAAGCTGCTTCATTTTCTGGTCAGTCTTCAACTTTCACTATGAAGTATATAGAATGTGGCTGTTGCGACGAGATGTTTAATTAGCTAACAATTGGCTTGTTTTAAGTCTAGGGAAAATTTTATTAATTTATCCCGCTCACATATAAGATTTTGTACAGGCACACCGCTACTAATAGTAAGAACAGACCAATATTATAAGTTTATAAATAAATATAATTTAATAAATAAAAGTTTACAAAAGATAAATGATCAAATAAAATTATAATTAAGAAATGAAATGAAGGTGCTAATGTCTAACATAACTGCTCATCATGGATTGGTGAGTGAGTGGAAGAGAAGAGTGTTCCTAGGTCTGGCTACTTATGTTCTTAGCTGCTAGCCCGTGGGTCGTGGGTCGTCTTCTGGCGGTCGTAGGACTGGCACTCAGAAGGATGAGTCATCCGGCTCTGTCTTAGGACGTCGGCTCGGGATATTCTCTAGGCTGTAGGCAAGCTGGCTCTCGCATGAGGCCGCTGCCTGTTTAGCAGTAGAGAGAGTGGGTGCTACAGACTAAGCTGTAGTGGGGTGATCTCTAAGCTGTGGTCTCTAGCTCGTAGAGATCTGTGCTAACTCAACACCAGTTTATCTTCCTGGAAGAAGGTTGCTTAAATCAGTCGGCATTAGGCAATAGCTATTGGGCAGTGGACAGTTTGGTCCGGGTACTGGGAAGATGATACTGGGCAGTATAAGCCACTGTGGACACTGGGCAATATTCTAAGGCCAAGGACAGTAGGCAATGCCTTCTTGCTAACAGGTATGTAATTGGGGGGGGGGGTATCTGGTGTGGTCTGTAGAGGCCTTAGAAGGGCTTGATGAAGGTGTCAGAAGGGTATGGGACGTCCTAACGATCGGAAGGCGTCTCCTACGATTCGGAGTGAACGTTACTTTGCAATGGGTACCTTCCCATTCTGGGGTGGTCAGCCACGACTTGGATGACCAGCTCGCGAAAACCGCGGTCGCAACGGCGCTCGAACATGATCAACCGTGCACTTATCATAGTGTACGATCCCTGGTCGACAAACGCATGTTGACACTTTGGCACGATGGCTGGGATTCTTCGGACAAGGGACGTGAGCTTCACCGGGCAATGAGTAGACCAGACAAAAGAGATGCATGGTGGCAACTTAATCGTGCGGAACAGGCAGTCCTAGCCCAGTTCCGGGTCGGACACTGTCCAATTGGTGCTTACCTCGGACGGTGGAAGGAAAACTACGACACACGGTGTCGCCATTGCATAGAGGACGATGAAACAATAGAACACATTCTTTACGAATGCAGAGTTCTGCACGAAGGACGATTGGGACAAGGATTAGATAGAGAGACGACTGGTTCATGGCCGACACATAGGTTGTCCTTGTAAGGGGATAAGGCAACCTTAAGAATCACTGCTCGCTTCCTCTCACGTGCTCTAAGGGAGTAATTCTCAGCATGTTTTTCGTTGTCAATGGGGTTTCTGACTCGGTGTGGTCTGCTTTGGGTGGAGATATGGCCGTTACAGCTTACAGTTACTTAAGCCTCAATCAGGTACAGCTATCAGTACAGCAATCGGGGGTAGCAACCAGGCTGGGGATAAGACAGACAATTAGGAACCTCCTAAAGGAATTGAGCAGGGATTCCCTTATGCCCTGCAATCATTCAGATACAGGCATTGGTATCAATCCCAAAAAGGCATTTAAGACAATTATGTATAAAATCTTAAAGCATTCATATAACTCAATCACAAACAAAGTACAAGGAAGATATTCACGATAAATGTTTTATCATACAATGTAGGATAATAGTAATCAAGATTCATCCAATGAATGTGATTACGTCGATAAGTAATCAGTTATAGCTAAATGGGGAATGAACATAGCGTACCAAAGGATAAGATGGAAATAAAATACTAGGGATATGGCTACAGTAATAAGGGTTTGATATAATTAATCAAAATTAAACTCATCCAAGGAACTATAAGTTCACAAGGGTGTAAGCCATAATAATATGTATGAGGGATATTTAATAGGAATGTGAAATAATTACTTTCCCATGCGCTCTGTAAGTTTAGAGTACTGTGATCTAAGTTCTTAGACAGTACTCAGATTCACGAAAGGGTATTGTTTACATCAATCACTAAGATACAGGAATGGATGAAACATAACAAATCAAATACAATAACTATGGTTTCAAATAGTACAATGTACATACATAATAAAGTCATAATGTAAAGACGGTGAATGTGGTTGTGTACTAATGTGTACTCACACATTCCTATAAGATAAAATAAGTATAGTAAAATGTTTACACTTACCAGTTTTTCCCTAATGAAACCTCACTAATAAACTTCCTAACAGAGGAGACTGAGTGAATCCTAGCGGGCCTAACTTAGAATGCTTCGGTCTCTCTCTATATATAGTTGGGGCATTTTGTTTAACGGGTGGGGAAGAAATCTAGCTGATTTTCTCACGTGTATCGATGTACCGGAGATGTCAGGTCAGATTTATGGTCGATATACCGTGAGAGTAAAGTCTTAAGCGAATATGTATCTGTCCAGCCCGAGTGCAATGCTATTCTTAGAGCGATGCGTATCCTGCCGGGGGGGGGGGGGGGAGAGAAATAGGTGTGAAAAGTTATTAGGCCGCTGCGTGTAGCGCTGGTGCAGCGACTATTGTGTGCTGGTCACCTGTCCAGCGGTCAAAAATTAAAAGTTAGCCCTAGAGAGGCTAGTTAATGTTTTACGTCGAGATTCGTCCCGTGAGAAACAGTGCGAGGGGAGATTAATCCTACAAGAAATTAGTTATGGGTGGACAAGAAGAGAATTGTTTAAAGTTAAAATAAAAGTTGCCCACGATTGGCTGGGAGAAACTCGAATGAACTTTTGTAGGCAAGTTTTTTTTTCGTCACAGCTGTCTATACTTTGAATATAAAATAAAACTTAAACTTTTTTCGAAAACAAAAATGAGTCATCAAAGAGAAATATGATTATGAGAAATATGATTATGAGAAATAGGATTATGAGAAATATGATTATGAGAAATATGATCATGAGAAATATGATTATCATATGTGATAATGCTTTTAGGACATGCTGATGGTGTGACGTGGGAGAAGCTGCCTAAAACAATGTCCGAAAGGGAACTGATTGGTCAGTCTATGCTGATCATCTTTGCTGGATTTGAGACAACAGCCACCACACTGCAGCTGGCTCTGTATCTGTTAGCCCAACACCCAGATATCCAGGTAAATAAAAGCACTCATTTTTTTGTTATGTTTATAAATTTTATGTTTCTTTCACGTGTCCTTTCTGTCATGTGATTTTTTTTCCCTAGACCAAGATTTATTACTTAGAATAAACTTTGATAGAAAGGTCAATAGATTTAAACATGATTCACCTTCGCCTATCCGTTAGCCTGTTAAACCGCAGCTTATAAGATCTGTTGGTTTTCTTTCTCCCTTCCTCCCTCTCTATTGTTGTTAATAGAATTTCTTTAAATGACAGGCCTGTCCATTCTTTTATATAGTCTTCCTCTTCTTTTTTTTCTGGTACTGTTCCCTGAAGGAATGTCTTTGCGTGTCCTGAGGACATTGTAATATGTCCATAGAGTTTTAAGCTTGCGCTTTTTGACAGTAGTCAGCAGGTCATCTTGGGATACAATGGCTGTATTATTCTTTTTCTAATCTCTTTATTTGTGATACGGTCTGTCTTTCTGCAATCTAAAACGTTATTGCTAAATCTAAAAATATATATATGTATATATATATATATATATAACTTTCTTGTCTTAATTTAACAGGAGAAAGTCTACCGAGAGATCCTAGAAACAGTTCAGTCAGACACTCCAACCTACGAAGAACTGGGTCATCTCAAATACATGGAACAGGTCGTCAATGAAACTCTACGGCTCTATCCACCGGCCCCTATTTCATCCAGAGTCGCTGCAGATACTTATCACTACAAAAACATTGTCATCCCTAAAGGCGCTTCCATCATCATCGCCAAGGACGCCATCATGAGGGATCCCAAAAATTTTCCCGAGCCCTCGAAATTCGACCCCGAGAGGTTTTCCGAGGAGAACAAATCCAGCAGGGACTTAATGACATTCCTGCCTTTTGGCCACGGCCCTCGCCAGTGCATCGGGATGAGACTGGCCTATCTGGAGCTGAAGCTCGGCTTGGTGCACGTGCTGAGGAAGATCAAGTTTGTTCTCAGCGAGAGGACACATCCGAAAGTCGGCGAAGAGCTGAAGACTCGTTTTCAGGGCATCATTATCACAGACAAGCCCATACAACTAGAGGTACACTTGAGACAATCTAATTAACAGTTATTATTATTATTATTGCTATTATTTTTATTGCAAGTGCATAATATTGAGCATAGAGTAATAGAAACTCTACCGCAATCTAATCCAACCAGACACTTCTCGTGTATTTCAAAAGGCGCACATTGATCAAGCAGAATGTGAAATATATTTTTCAAATAGACAAACAAAACCGTTTCGTATAGGAGGAGATTTTTTCTATTACTTTTGAACTCATTATGAAAATAGAAAACTATGGTGCGCCAGAGGGGAGGTGAGAGAAAAACTTAGTGAAATTGTTTGAATTGTTCTCACAACGTTGTCACCAGAAAGATGATATGTTGTTATTGTGTTCTATGTAGTGTGTCTGTACTGTGTCAAGATGATATGTTGTTATTGTGTTCTATGTAGTGTGTCTGTACTGTGTCAAGTTGATATGTTGTTATTGTGTTCTATGTAGTGTGTCTGTACTGTGTCAAGATGATATGTTGTTATTGTGTTCTATGTAGTGAGTCTGTACTGTGTCAAGATGATATGTTGTTATTGTGTTCTATGTAGTGTGTCTGTACTGTTTCAAGTTGATATGTTGTTATTGTGTTCTATGTAGTGTATGTTTAGTGCGTCAAGTACATAATACTCTTTTATAGTGTTATGATAAACATTAAATATCATCTGAGTAAAATGTCTTGGCTATAATATATTATTTTTTTGTGTAAAAACAAGAGAAACTTTACTCTCGACTTTTTTTGTGCTAATGATTTTCTAAATGATTAGAATTTTTTTTTCTTTGAATCAAACCTTCCAAACCTGGACTTTAACATCAATATTCAAAGGATGTTCATTCCAATCAGGAGAATTGGTTCATCATGCACTCGATATTTTTTTAGTTTGCAATGTGTCAGACAATGTTAGGATGTGTGTGTGTGGCACTGTGTGGTGAGTCTGTGTGTGTGTGACAATACAGAGAAAATATATTTTTTGGAAATCTTTAAATTAAGACTTACGAGAATGTGTCTGCTATAGAAAAATATCATTATATATACACAATGTACTATCTAAACAGACAAAAATACAATTGTTCAATAAATTCCTAACTACAATTCAGTTTGTTTTTTTTATTGTACTATCAAACGTTATCACTTGGTTTTCATATAGACTGGGCTATTTAGGACACCCTTTATATACTAATCCATCTGAAGCCTGGACGATCACGTGACATGTGACAGTATGGTAGTCTAAAACAAAGAAAAGTTGACCGACCTAGAAAACAACAATTAAATGTTGTTCTTCCCTTCACTAACCCCCCTTGTCTTTGAGTTGTTCTAGAAGTTTCCAGAGATAATTATCTGAGCGTTTCAAACAAGTAAATATCCTAAACTTTAATTATAAATCAGAAACCATGTGAAAGAAAAAGATCCAATATGAAGGTGTAAACCTGATATTCCATTGGATCAGGCTCTAATTTGACTCTTACATGTCTGACATAGGTGTGTAATGATATCATGTTTATCAAGTGTGGAGATGTTACAGCTATGCCTCGATGATTAAAACGGGGTTGGCTGTGACTAATGCTTTGATAGAGGTTACACCAGAAACTTTATTTTAAAAACAAAAATTGTATTTAGATCTAGACAGCGGAGGGCAATGAAAGTACGTTTTTTTTTCTTCCTGTAAATTTTAAATATTTTCCAGATACTAGTTTGGAGGAATGTGGTAGCTGTTAGTTCACTGCACTGTGTAAGAATTGCTCATTTACCTTTCTAGCCTAAAACGAACTTTATTAAAGGCTTCAAAGAGACATAATGCCCAGTTTCCAGGCGATCTTCCGACTTGAGAGTTGGCACAATTATGCAACCACAAAATTTTGGTCAACAGAACTTCTTTGACTATTTCTAAATACCCAAATAAAATGTTCATCTTTAAGTACCCCCTTCCCCATCTCAATTTTTTTCAAAATGCTTCGACCATCAGCATTGTCCTGCAATAAGGTCTTATATTTCGTAAATGTTATTCTCAAACAAGTCAGCAGACTAGCCCCGGGTGTCTGTGAGTTGGCGTCAGATGATAGAGTGGTACTTAACTCAAATTAGACTAAATACTAGAAATCTAGATCTAGTTGATTCACGCTGGTTTGTGTTTCAAAAGCTAGATGGTAGCCTAGGAAAATCAATTCTGTGATGCGAGAACAATTTCAACTCCACTCCAGACGTGTGTTTAAATCTGTGTTGACTAGGAATCTAGGTCAAGGTAAAGGTTCATGTGATGTGTAGCAACAAAGTAAAAATCAATTCATTCTTGACGTCGACCGGTGTGTTTCATGAGGAAATAATCTGTGTATCAGCCACTGTGTTCAACAGTTCATTATAAATCACATTGTAACAATTGGGATTGTCAGTGAAACAATGAACGTCTATTACATCTCTACGCAAGCTGATGTAATTATCTTCAAATTGTTTGGGTCTCTTTCATCAGCTGAACTTTGACCTGTATACAGTGTAGATTTGTTGTAGAACTGTTACAAGTCTTCTATATAACGTATGACCAAGTTAATGCAAACATTCACACATACAGGATACATGTTATAAACCGTGAGTGTTGTTTACTTTAATTAGATCTATTATTGGCTTTATAAGATTATACTATATAACTTAATATAAGAGAGGGTTGTTTTCTTCTGTTGTCTGTAAAATAACTAAGAAAGTAGTTTTATAATATGCCTACTATGATGCAGGATTCAAATATGTAACCAGATACAACTGTTAAAAACGCGATAGATATCTATATCCCTAACAAGAGAAGGGGTAGAGGAAACTAATTAGCGCCTTAACCACTAAACTTCAGTGAGGAGGGTCGTGTAAACCTTGAAGAAAACTCTGAATTCAAACCTCTGCTACCTTGCAGACGAACCCAAACACGGGAAAGTCTTTGGAAGTCAACACTGAGAAAAAATCAGGAGCGGGCGACCCTAGCTAATTAGCAGCCTACAGTTCTACACACAAGGCCTGGGATGCCGTTGCAGCAGACACCAAATTGTATCGGCAATTAATGATCCTCTGGACCAGTGGTTCCCAAACTTTTTCCATAACGGAACACATCGCAAATTCCGATTATATAGCGGAACACTTTTCTTTTTTTCTAAGAGAGATTAATTCATGTGAGAGCCTACTAGTTAATTTTTCCAATAGTTCGAGGGTTCCGCGGAACACAGTTTGGGAAACACTGTTTTGGACAAATCTGCTGCGTGGAAAGGGAGGAACTGCTGTGTGGGTAACATTGTTCCGACCATAGCTAATGCCCATTTCTCTGAGATTATCCGTAGTTGCTTTGCTATAGAAGACTGAAGGAGGTAATATATATTAAACAATTTGAGACTCGATCTCGCGTCATGTAGTACTGATCGTTGTGTTTATTGGGGTGTATTCTAACAGAATATTAACTTAGAAGCTCATTAACGATAGTACGCCATATAAAGGGCTTAATTGTGTAGTAAGCGCTCTGTAGTATCCACTCTGTGGTCCCAGGTTCAAATCCTGCAAAAGTTTTGGCCTATGATGTCATAGTCTTCAATTCTCAAGAACTATCCGAAACATGTAAAACAAAGATAAAAACTTAAACCCAATGGCAACTAGACAGGACTATCTGGACAATGTTTTGTTGTCATGAAACAAAAGTAAATCCAATATAAGACTTTTAAACAAAGAAAGTGTCAGCATATAAAACTATCTATAGTAATTCAATTAATAATAACACTTTGTTTAAATCTTAAGATTTAAATTTCAACACTCGTTGCGCGTAAATTGATTATTAAACTCAGGTGCCTTTGTACCCCTCCCCTCACTGGCCCAGTGCAACGTTACTGGCAGCAGATGGTCTCTGAAAAAAACCGTCGGAGAGCTCTCACGGAGGCCACGGGACCCACATTTGAGGTCCACTTTATTGAAGAGAAGGGAAGAAGACGTAAACTAAAATAGACCGCCGGCGGACAACGCATCAGCATAATGTGTGGGAAAATATGTAGGTCACAACCGGTTTGCGTGGCCATGTGAAACCCCGCACTCATCCTTAATCTTCTGAAGAGAAGAAATTATTTTCTAAAAAGTCACTGATTAAAGAAAGTCTATTTTGCTTCTAAGAAGTTTCTAATTCTACTGGTGACTTATACTTAGCCATAATTAAGTATAATCATGAAAATGTCACTATTTTTAGATCATGATTGATGCCAGTTGTATGCCCTACACAACATGCGCCTTAACGGTAGTTGCAATTGTCCTAACAACGTACTGGTTCTTCAGGCGTCGCCAAAAAAGCAAATCCTGGCAATGTTACGGGGTCAAAGATGTTCAGTTCCCGTCAATGGGTTTTGGAGATTTCAGGTAGGTCACGTGATTGTATTAATACTAGTTCTGGATCTGGATAACTTGATTGAGGGAAATGGTCAAAAACACATGGATTACGATAATCATTGACCTCTTAAAAACTTAAAATACAGATTGTTTTCTGGGAGACAGAAAGTGTTAAAGGGATTCAAGAAAAGAAATAGAAAACAATTACTTGTGTGTAACACACCATTCTCTGCTGAGTTGACATGAAATCGTTGTTATTATGTGTATACGTTAATTTATAGATACGATAATGTGTGTGTGTTAATTTATACATAATGTGCCTATGCACGCTTTGAAAATATAAAACCTAAATGCATTTTGGCATGCAGCTATGATTACTCAACAACAATTGCCAACTTTAAAAACACAATTTCTTTCCTTATCTTCCTTGTATGTGTAAATATATCCAGAGCTATTTGTAAACAATTTACAGAGCTATTTGTAAATAATTTACAGAGCTATTTGTAAACAATTTACAGAGCTATTTGTAAATAATTTACAGAGCTATTTGTAAACAATTTATCACTGAACATGGCGACACAGTGGGTGTGTCCGGCACTAATATGATGCTGATCAGCCGTGACGTTGAACTTCTGAGACATGTTCTGGTCAAAGACTTCAACAACTTCACTGACCGGGCCATAGGTGTGATCACCAGGTCCTACCTGAAGCACGGTCTGTTCTTCCTCCAAGGTAGAAGCTGGCGCAGAATGAGACACATCTTGTCTCCTTCATTCACGTAAGTAACTCCGCCACCTGACTGATGACTAAAGTAGAGAAAGTCGGTATTGTTTTTCTGCTGTCTGTCTTGCTTTTTTTCTTTTTGTCCGTCACGCTTATAAAAAAAGTTACCATTTAACATTTTATATAAATTCGAAAAGATGAAGAGCGGACCTTTGATTTGCAATGCTCACGAAACAACGGACCAACAAGGGCCACTTACGAAAACACAAACTTCCTTCGATATCTTATTTATTAAATATGGATTAGTATTAAATAATTGTATGTTTCATACTTAAGAGAATAATGTAATAGGCCTATACACCTAAACATGTTTTGCAAGTAAAATAGTGAAATTAAACTAGAAAGTGTTACCAACGTAAATACAAAGGGAGATAAATAGAGAGGGGTTTGGGGGAAAGAGAGAGAGAAGAAAGATTACAGGGTAAATAGAAGAATGTATTTTTACTTCGTATTGTCCCGGTATTGTGACGTAGTAGGAACGTTCTACAAGTGCCCTCACCACTCCATCAACAAACCAGAGAGAACAATAATAGAAAGACAAGAATACCTCCCTATAAACTAGAAGAGTATGAGCCCCATTGTTAATTAGTGTGTGAGTTTACAAGATATCGATGAAGAAAGTGAGCATTACCTTTTGCTGCTGAAGAATGATGAAACTACATTTGGGAAGTCACGTGAGGGGATAGCTGAACGAGGTACGACCCAGAGACGCAAGAGAGTCAAGACGTGTGTTTGTAGTAAGTTACATTTAGTTTAAATATCATTTCATTTTGTTACTTTTACATCTATATATCGCATCTCAAGTTGAATCTGTGTACATTGTTATTAAAATGTATGTTTAGTTTTTTGTTTACAAAAGAAGTTTCACAGTTTTTGAAAATATTGTCTGCTCACTACCAGGACAGGGAAACTTAAACACATGAGTCTTACAATTGACCAGGCCGCTCAAAGACTCACGTCTGTACTCGAAAGTC